AGAAACAAAAAGTAATGATAAGGTTCTAAGCACTCTATGCCACGTTTTTGAAAGTGTCGTAGCAAACCGTGTCAATAGTATCCTTACCGACTTTGGTCCATGTAGGCAATGTCTTGTTTCCATGGTTACCACTGAGAATGTGTGGGTCAGACAGGCAATAGGAAGGTTGCCAGACTTTTGCTCAAACATGAGTTGTACTAAAAAAGACGGGACTACCGACATCATAAAGAGAGATTTTACAAAGCTGTTATAGAGCGCGATTATTGAAATATTGAAAAACTTTCCACAAAGCAAAAAGGGTGATTTTGTTTTCCAACTGAGATTTCCGGCACTTGCGAATAGAGTATTTTATAAAGAGGCTCTGAAAACGATATGTATTCAGTTTTCTTTTTATGTTGTCCACAGACCCAAGAGCCCGGTGTTTTCCAAATATGTTCGGAAATTCTCCCCTGTGTTTTATTTTATGTGTAATGAATCCTGAAAACTTGATATCTTTTTCTTTATTTTAAATGTATTTTTTACACTATAGATCTTTATTTACCTTCGTATAATAATTTACTCCCCACATATCAACTGTTTTATGTTTCTACCCACGTGTTATTCTTGGAGCTTTATTTTGGTAAATTAGAGATTTCTGGAGACTCAAGTTTTCACAATTTTGGGCGGCTTTCTTTGTTTTTCAGAAAAAAAAGAAAAAAGAGTGCAAAGAAAACATATCCGGTCCACACGCGCATGTTTTTCACAGCGCTTCGTCTTTTCTTCCAAACCCGTGTAAACTGTTAAAAACCTTTCGGGCCGAGGTTAAAGAAAAATGTAACCATTTTTAGACTACGAAAAACGCTTTATTAAATAGTCGCTAAATCTTGACAACCGTGAATGATTGTTGACTTTTATAACGATGATTTAGCATTCCTTCGTGCTCATTTTCTCACCGGTGGAAGTTGTGCAATAATTTGTCAACGCACGTGTGGAACGGATGCTGTAGATGCCTTTGGATAATTACCGAAATTAAAATCCTGGCTACTTGATGGCTAAATTTTATTAAATTGTTGCGACATAATATTTCGCTTTCATTTCTTCATGAAAATATGGACGTCGCGTCTGGGCTCCATAAACGACTAGCACATTTCCGCCTTTAAGAAACAAAAGGCAGCGAAAGGTCAAGTTGTTTGGTAATAGAAACATGAAAACCCTGGCATGGCCTGCCTTGACATGTATTCGTCCTCTGTTTTGCGCAATCGTTTTCGTTTTCCCGAAAATTGCAAACCTAAAATGCTCAAAAGAAAAAGTAAAGA